TGAGAAATTATTCAAATTGATGCTTAAAGTAAAATACATGTGAATTGTGTTGTGTCACGAAAATGAGAAAACTCATATCCTACATTGGTGGGATAACAATTATGTGAATGGTTTATATACATCAACTAACTTGCTAGCCATTGAATGACTTAGGTTGATATTGTGCCTCGCACGCAGGTGTAGGGGTGTAAATCCATGCATGTCGAATCCATCGGGTTGGGGGCAGACCCGCATGACGTAGGCGACGTGAATGTTCACTACGAATATTTTACCCACTACGAATTAAATATTTTCCTTAATTGTGACATATCTTTTTGAATATTCTGAATTAAAAATATATATTATATGATTTCCATTTAATTCAAATATTATTATATGTCTTGTAATTCAAAAATATATTTGATTAAATGCAGTATTAATTGATTACTTCCAAATTTATTTGTATACTCATTAATCACCTTACTTTCAATAATATATTATTTCCAATTCTTCTCTTAGGTGGAACTCTATAAATACTGTGTAAGTCTACTAGGTTAAACACAACTCAAAAACTCTTTTATTTCCTTCTATTTTTCGGTGATAACTTTAGGCAAGATATAGTTTGTGATCTCTGCAGATGTGATATTGTACCATGATCATCTTGTTGTTGTATCTTGGGGGAAAACAACCAAAAATCTCAAGTACTAAGGAGTGACCGAAAATTTGTCTTAAGGAAACTGTGTGTCTACAGGCCTCAACTAATTTTCTAGATCGTTATTCTATCGACATTAAAGTTTTGTTCTAAACTATATCTTTTGTTTATTAATAAAATTTGAGTTTTTTTCGTTTCGGATTGTTATATTGTAACAATCTTAAGAAAAAATTTACCTTCTACCTTTCTGAAATGATTCGAGACGATTCAAAAATCTTGAAGAAAACGTGAAAAGCAAATTAATTCATTTTAAGGATTTATTCGGTCGTTTTAACGGGTTTGCTTAAAGTGGACAAATATGTTTTAACAGAAATTGTCGTTGAAGTAACATTGGTTACTAATATTGATTATGTTTCTTTTACAAAATAATGGAAGTAACTGATTCCAATGGGTTACCCAGCTTGGATACTAGGATGATGATTCTGGTTCAAAATACAAATTTGAATATGAATCTATCGACAGTGACAATTAATGTAACGCCCCGAAACCTGGCTTAGTAGTTCGGGTCAAACCGAGACCCATAAACCGATCCCAAGGACCCAATAGAATGGTTGGATTTAGCTAATTAAGGAGTGGGCTTGAGTTGGGCCCAAGAGTTAATTGTGATTTTAATTGATTTTGGAGTCAAAGGGACTAAAAGTGAAATTACCTATTTTTATTTGGAAGTTGAAAAACATCTTCCCATATTATATGATTTATATGAACTAAAGCCCCCAAATATCTTACCAAACACTCTTCTTTATTTTTCCATTTTCTTCTCTTCCTTTTCATTTCACAAGTATAGATTCCAAGTATTTTCATTCTAGCTTAGTTAAGACAAGGTAATGTGAATCATCATCCTTCAAGCTTCAATTTAAACTCCATTTTGTAAGTTTTTAGCCATACTTTCCAAAATGGGATTTTGAGAGGTTTAATAAAATCTAAGGATTCTAGTTTATTTTGTTAGATTCAAGATGTAAGAAGTGTTCTAATCTTTATTCCCACCATATAGATAAATTAGAAATTTCTTTTTCATACCCTTGAATAGTGAAAAAGTGGAAGAAAGTTCAAAAGCTAAGGGAAAAGAGAAAGAACCTTTTGGGTGAGTTGAGGCTTTGCTATTAGCCAAGAAATTCAAGGTAACCACACATACAACTCTTTTATACTCTCTAGCGGGTCATTTTGGAATGTAAGGTAGCATAGAGATTGATATTAAAGCTTGATGAGCATGTTCATGGTATATGATATGTTTTATGTTATTAGCACACTTTAAAGCCTTAATTATGATCCTTATTGATTACATAAAACATTAAGGACATTTGAGAACCTCAATATAGCAATGTGAGTAGGTTTAAGTGCCCAAAAAGGACAAGTTCAAGGGAAGGTATCAGTACTGGAGGGGTTAGTACTGATATTATTCGTGTTACAGGCTTAAAATTTTAAAGTTCGTGAGGGTAGTATCGATACCCCTTTAAGGGATATCGATAATGGAGGTTTGGTATCAAGACCAGGATGCTTGGTATCAAGACCTATTTTTCATAATGCCATTTTGGTGTCAATACTCTAGGGAGTATCGATACCCAAGGTCCCTGTATCGATACTCCCCACCTGAGTATCGATGATACCCCTTTTATTTAAGAAAATTTACCCCTGGGGTTTTGATACCTTGGGTAAGGTATCAGTACTCAATAGATAGTATTGATATTGTAAGGCCAGTATAAATACCAAAATTTTGTTTTGGCCTTCAAATTAAGAGAAATTGTAAAGGTTAGTGAGGTTTCCCAACAAGCTCTTTTTACTCTCAAATAAAACTACAAGTGGAACAATAATAATGCTTAATTACACATAGAAACAAAATTAAGTAGGGTAACATAAAACTAGCCTTGTTTGACGCTCGAGAAACGATTCGGACACCCGAGTTCCCTTAGAAATATTAAGAGTGTCGAAGTATATAATCAGTCTGAATATCATTAGGTAGTGTGTAAGACACTTTAAAATGACTAGCTAGGACGCAAGGCCGGACACTCGCAAGGTGTGTGCTAGTCGAGGGTGTTATGTATGATGTAAAAATTTCGAGCCTCATCCTCAGTAGACTAAAGAGGTGCGTGAGCTTCGAGATACAAAAATTCCTCACCCGCATCATGATGTCTACCATAGAGTACAAAGTGAGTATACGAGTATAGTCACTATATTATTTTATTAGTTGGCTTGAGTATGTTAATGAACTCCTTTTTGTATGATTTAGTTATTAGTGTGACACTGGGTTAATTAGCTCAACATTTGGAATTTGTTTCCTTACGCAGATTCATAGATGTAGCAGTTGAAGACCTTTTGTGCAGAAGTAGATCCAGACCCAGATTTCAGAGCAGTGTACATCTCGGTTTCTTCTTAGAGGGCTTGTATATTTGTAACTCTATTTTGTATAATCAGTCGTAACTCATTTTAAAATTATGGTATGTATATTCTAGAATGTTATTTTGGGAGCTCCCGATAGTAAATTGTTTTATATAAATATTATTATTTATTTTATCATGAGAAATTTCAAATAAATGTTTTCAATTGAGCATGTTAAAGAAAATTTTAGGTAAGTTATTGTGGTGGTTTCGTGTGACACTCTTATTAGTCGACTGTGTATCGTACTGGTGTAGGGTGTTACAATTAACCACAACGAGAGTTTGTTGAAATTTTATGGACAAAATTTCAAGATATGACAACAAAATATGTGGTTCTATCTAACCACAGTGAAATATGCTAAGTTTTTTAAGGAATATCCTTCTGCCTTTTAGGAATGAGAAGGAGAATGAGAGGTTAACATTATTACTGCCTTTAATATGGTTGAAACTTGAAAGCAATTTGACTACATATGTTGAAATTATATCCTGAACAATTTGCAGGATTTGTTGAATCCAATGTACTATGGTTATCCAACATCAAGGAAATTGTGGGAGGTAATGGACCACAAATATCAAACTAAAGGTATTGAAGCTAAAAAGTTTTTAGTTATCAAGTTCTTGAAGTATACTATTTTGATTCTAGACTAATAATGGAACAAGTGGAGAAACTCCAACTGATTATTCATGGAATTTTGGCTGAAAAAATGCTCATTAGTGAATCATTCCATGTGTCAACTATTATTGAAAAGCTACCTCCGGAATAGAATGACTTCAAGAATTACCTAAAACATAAAAGAAATGAAATGATCTTAGAGAAACTAATTGTCGGGCTTTGAATAGAAGAAGATAATAAATGTCGTCAAAAAGCTCAACAAAGAAACCTTCAAAGAAGTTAAGACAAATGTGGTAAAAATAAGGACTTCAAAAAGGGAAAACATCCCGATAATAGGTCAAAGTTGTGACCTAAAGGTGGAATTTCCAATAAGAAAAAATTCTAAGGAAAGTGCTACAATTGTGGAAAGATGGGGCACAAGTCTACATGCCTAAACTAATTTTCCAGATCGTTATTCTATTGACATTCGAGTTTTATTTTAAATTGTATTTTTCTTTATTAATAAAATTTAAGTTTACTTTATCGCCTCAGATTGTTATATTGTAACATTATAAATTAATATATTTTTAAAAAATTAATTATTAATAATATGTATATATTTTATAGACATAATTATTGAAATGGCCATTCAGCTCAGTTGGTAGAGCACAATGTTCTTAACCTTAAGGTCGTGGGATCGAGTCCCACGGAAGGCATTTCATAATTCGGATGTCTCTTACGGAAACTGTTGAGAGCAGTCTACTATTTTACCTTCCCCTTACCCTATACATATGAGAAAAAGGGGACAACCATTTTTATAGACATAATTACTCTAAAACGAATTTTTTAAAAAATAATATTCTTTTTTACTATTGAATTCATTTAATATATTGAATAAAACAATAAAGTTATGTGTCTAGTGTCCACGTTTATTTTGTGGATTATTATGCTTTTGTTTTATTATGTCTTAATATAAAAATAAGTGTATAAAGAATGTCTCGAAAAACGTTTTAGTGTATAAAGAATTTTTCGTTTAAAGTATATGCCTAAAGTTTTATCTGCTACATTTTTAGGTATCTAACGTTAAAAAATTGTTAAGTGATTCGTGTTACATCCAATTTTTTTTAAAATAAAATATTATTTAAAATTATTTCTTTAAAAAAATCGGACGTGACACTTAATGATTTTTTTCAACTGTAGGAACCTAAAAGTGTAATGGAAAAAACTTTAAACACATATTTTTAACGAAAAAATCTTTAAGCACCAAAAGTTAATTTTGAGTATTAAGCCTTTTATTATCTATGTTTAGAGACTGCCCCTAACATTTATCAACAAAACTTAGCTTTTATTTTCTACTTGAAGCATGAGCTTTTAACTTGTTTCTCAAGCTTTAATTTACACATTTGCAATTGATTAAGTTGCATCTTCATATTCTCCACCTCTCTCCTAATCATTTTAATCTCATTTTGAGATGTTGCGAATCCCCTCTCTAGAACTTTGTTATTATTCACTTTCAACATAGTTCGAGTCGTTGTTCTCAGATTAATGTTCGACCTAGTAACCAACATTGATCTAGCCATCATTACTTGCTCGAGAAGCATGAACTCAGTCACAATCTTCAACGGCAATCGATCGTTCCTCATTGCATGTTGGCGTGCATCTTCCGATAATCTGTGATACTCCATTGCTGTGCACACACTTGCTCGTTCTTCCTCTGTTAGACTCGGATGTGCCTGCACAGGTATCACATTTTACATATAAAGATGTTAGATATACTTAAAATGATACATGTACAAAAACTGATTTGAAGATAGCAACTTATGTTACCTTGAGGTACATGTCAATCGCTCGATAGAGACTGTTATCGGACGATCGAGCATTTTTTGGTAATGCATCGAGGAGCGATTTGAAGTTATCGACTGCAAGGTTAAGTTCTCTTGCAACCATAGCAAGATAACCATCGATCAACCTTCCAACATTGCATAGTCTTGCCCCAGAGTTTTTCATGGACAAGACAACATAAGCTTGGACCACCCTGATCACAATTCCGACATCATGCGTGGTGTCGTCGCCATCTTCATTGTTTTTAACCAAGAGATCTTGAACAGAACATTGCTCCAACATGGAAGCTACTCTTGTTTCGAGTTTGTCGGACAATGCCAAATCAATTTTCGTTGTTAATCCTAACTTGAGAAGGCAAAGTAGAAAGTTACACGAAACCGAATTTTTCTCCCTCGGAAGCATGTTGATTAAACTTTCGACAGTAATTCTTTGTAGCTTTTGAGCCAGATGTTTAGGTACCACTAGTTCATCGAATACAAATGTTTTTCTCGGAAACCATTTCGCCATCCAGTGAGCTATACACAATCCGATGAGCTCCGGTTTCGTCCCTCTTCGTTTAATCGACTCGATCACTTGGATGAAATGATCGATTCGAAGGGTCGAAATGTCTTGGAACCACCAAGTATTGGTTGAGTCTCCTACATTAGAGTTCCCATTGCTATTTTCTCCTCCTGGAGTGAAAGCTTTCGGGACAGTCGAGGCCTTCCAAGCGATGGCGTCGGAGCATCGCTTCACGATTCGCAATTCTTTGGCCCAAGGTGACACGGATTCACAGCTTTTGAGTACCTTAAAAGTGTCTTTCCAAGATGAGAAGATTGCAAAGCTGAGAAATGCCTCTGCCTTTGGAATGAGATTTCCATGGTGAAGATCATCACTCATTTCCAAGAAATTTGCAGCGCAATGGAGTGGAGCGATGGTTGTCGCCGTTACATCAACGTTAAAGCCGTAGCAGAAGTTGACGACGGATTCGAAGGTCTTGATTCCGCCGGGAAGGTCATCAAGCAGAAGCTTGAGTGAGCTAGCTCCATGCGACTCACTTCGTTTTGCAAATACAAGTCTATTCAAATACCCACTTTTCGAAACCATAGCTAGCTATACAAAAATAACAGAATTTTTAAATAATGGATTTAAAGTTAAAATCAAATTAATAAAAATAAGATATATTCAGAAAAAATGGAAAAGAACACTGTAATGTATGTTGATTTTTTTGTTAGTATGGAATGATTATAAGATACTATCTGTTTGAAAGATTATCAACCATTTGATAATGAATGTTCAAACACTTGCAAATGTCGCGCTCAAATTTAGAACAACATCTAAAGATAATAATCATATCTTAATTACGAGTTTGTTTGGTTCGTGCGCTAGACCTTCTGTTAACTAAATATATAGATGTGAAATATAAATTATAATATATTAAATCATTAATCATTAAATTAGAATTCCATGCTTCACTAAAGAAAGATATAGTGTACATACTTGTGGCTCACCTTGTGCAAGTGAAATCTAAAATCTCCAACCTGCACCACCAAATCACTTGCAACTTTTGCCCTAACAAACCTGCAAGACCACATGAAATTAACACACAAAGCACATAACACCAACATATATATACATACATGAGAGAGAAATAAAAAGCTAACCAGTTGTTGTTTCTTCTTTCCAGTTGCTCAGCAACAATAGCAGGGTCGGGTGGATAAATGACACAGCGGTTGGGCTTCCCGCCCAGCACCGAATCGTGGCTCGGGTATTCTTCCTCCACCTCTCTGCAACTCATCATCTTCAACCTCATTCTTCTTCCTCTTTTCCTGTAATCTTCAACCTCATTGTTGGTCTATATATACTGTAATAAATGAATGAGCAGTGTGCGTGGCGGATCGGTGGGGTACTGAGGGTTTGTTTATTGGGCTGATTCACGTAGTAGTTAAGCCACGAAGATGGTTAATTTATTACCTTTTGCCATCTCTTGGAATATATGGATGGAGTGGCTTATAGCCAGCACCTTGACAATTTATGTTCTTCATTCTCATCCATGTATATCATCACCACACCAATCACCTTTCTATGTCAGTGTCAATGTGGGTGAGAAATTAATTTTTTTCGACTTAACTCGAGACTAAAAAACTTGACTCATATGGAACAAACTAGACTGAGCAGGTTGCCCCTAATGGGTTTATACAAAATCTGATTGAAAACAGCTAATTAATATAATCGGATATCGGTGATTAAAAAAAATTGACTTATAATTTTATAATTTTTTACCTCGACTTAACTCGAATTGATCGAATACTCACCCTTTTATATCACCATCTATCTATCTATATATTTATATATATATTTGTGATTATTTGAAAATAAATAGATTTATGTCGATATAAAGATTTAGTTAGTTGAATACTTATTAATATTTGGATAAGAGCTGGATTTCATGGTTCAGAATACCTTGAAAAGTAGTAACATTCGGATCCAAATATTTTGTGGATAATATATGCAATGGACCCATATAGAAGAACATTTATTCTGGTTGGTCCAAACGTAGGACCGAAGAGCCAGCAAGAGAGAGACATCTAAAATAAGTAATTATTATCTAAAATGTTGATTGTTTCAGTTCTTCACCAATTACCTTCACCTCCACCCTCTATGTTTCATTCCTCTATTTGATAGGCTAAGGTGATTAAATTAAGGTGATTATAAAGTAGTATTTGTTTAAATATTTTCAACTATTTAATAATAATCACTCAGTCATTATGTTACAACTGCTGGTGTTCGAATCCATGATCTCTAGAAACATTAATGATTCCTTTAACCGTTAAGATAAATTGGTTTGTGCTGTTAACTTTGAAAAATATTATTTATTAATGTGAATAATCAAATAATTTTTTGAAAAGCCATTTTCTATAGATGATGGCCGAAGGAATTTTATATGGGCTTGGGTTTTATTATTTATGTTATTGTTTATTTTACTTTTTACTCTTATGTCGTCTGAGTTTCAACAAATAAAAGTGCGTTCGTATTTATTTATTTATTTATATTGTAAGTGTAAATATTCAATTTATGTTCATTTATAATTTTAATACAATATTCATATTCTTTTTTTATTTTTAAAGATGTTCGTGTTAGATTGTTTAACATTTACGGACGTGTTGTTTAATTTTGACGAACATATTTATTTAACTTCCGTGCACATATTCGTTTATATATTCAGAAGTGATGAAATTACATCACTAGTCCTTGAGCTTCTTAGACTTCACATTTTGAACTCTAAAGTTTACGATGTGCTCAATTTAATTTATGCATTCACCAATATTTAAAATGTAAAAAATAATGATGTTTTCTCTTGGCCCTTTTTCTAATAAATGTATCATGGCTACAAGTGTTTTTGGACTTCAGGTGCATATTTATTTTATTTGTCTTCTTCTAGGTATGTGCTTCTTCATGCTTTCATGGTTGATTGATTCTCAATGTCTGGTTTATTTGTTCGTTTGTCCATGACGATCCATTGGTTATCGAATAACTACCTCTAATGGGATTGTCATTAAGGGGAGATAGCTTTTTCATTGGTCCGTTTGGGATATTTTTCAAGTTTTTCTCCTCCATGTTTAGTGTTTGGTGCCGTTGGAGTGATTCGTCTTTGTACGTTGTTGCCTCAATTGTTTACGCCATTGCTTAGCAGGCTATCACTAGTCGATCATTGTTATATTTTACTTATTAGGGATGTAAAATCATGTAATCATTCAGGTTTCAGCCGGGTTCTGACAGGTCAGGCTAAATCATATAGAGGTCGTGTCAGGTCAATTTGATGGTTTGACTTGAATCAGTTTGAATCAGGGTCAAATCAGTTTGAGTCTTTCTCATATTGATTTTAACATCAGATTTAATTCGGGTTCAGATCAGGTTAATGTAAGTTCGGATCGATGCCAATTCATGTCATAATCAGTTAAATTCCAAGTTAATTCAGGTTCGGATGTAGTTTAGGTCGGATCTCGTTCAAATTGGGTCACATCATTGACAGACAAAATTTAGGTCGGATCTTACCGGGTACGGGTTGACTTCAGGTCGGGCCATTTTTGGGTTAATTATTTTTCATCTTTCATGAAAGATGAATTGTAACTTTTAATTGTATATGATTTGGAGTAAATTACAAAAATATAAATAATTGTGAGTCAATTTTAATAAAAATATAATTTTAAGAACTAAATTGAACAAACAAGAAATTACAAACAAAATTTTAAATAAATTAAACAACAAGCATGTATGAGTGATCAAATCTAAATGGAAATAAGTATGGGCAAATTTCATATACAAATATAATCTTAAGGGAAAATTTGAAGTAAATTACAAAAATATAAATATGGGCCAATTTCATATAAAAATATAATTTTAAGGATTAAGTTGAACAAATTAATATTTAAATAAATTACACAATATTTAGGGATTAAATTCAAATAATTTTAAAATACGAAACTGAAATTAATATAAAAATGGACTGAATTGCATTCATTTTAAAAGTTGAGGAAAAAATAAAAATAATTTTAATATATATTATATATAATATAATATAATATAAGTATACATTATACTTACTTATAAATATATAATATAAGTATACATTATACTTATAATATATACATTATACTATTATATATATATATATATATATATATATATATATATATATATATATATATATATACATTAAATACTTATAAGTATATACAATACATTATATATATAAGTAGATATTATATATATATTATAAGTATATTATACATATATATAAGTATTTATATAACGTTATATAAGTATATATTATACTTCTAAATATATAATACAAGTATTAAGTCTGGATATATCAGATCAGTTTAATAACAGGTCGAATCATTTACAAGTTGAGTTAACTAAAGACCAGGTTGATAACAGGTCAGGTTGATAACATGTCAGGTTGATAACATGTAAGATAATATCAATTATTTATCGGGTTAATCTCGAGTTCGGATTCATATCGGGTTGAATGCATGTCGGGTTTGGTTATCACATTATCAAATTCAATTCGGGTTCATGTCGGGTGCAGGTCGTAAATTTTCATGTCCAACTCGGGTTCAGGTCAACATTAGTCCAAACTCGAATCGATTTCGGATCATCACCACCTCGGGTCAGAAACAATTTTGACTCAAGTCGATTTCAGTCGATTTTACAGGTCGAGTCGACTTTTTACATCCCTATTACTTATGATAGTTACAATTGTATTTATTCGGTTTGTATTTGACACGAAGTTGTACTTGTTGATGATGATTCCATGAAATGAATTTATCATAGTTATATATATTTTTCAAAAAAATGTATAAAAAGAATAATATTAATGAATTTATAAACTTATAAATTTATGAATAATGTTAATGAATTTATAAATAAATCAATAAACAAATTAATAAATGAACTTATTAAAAAAAATTTAAATTAATTTATTCGTAAACATGAAGCAACTTAAATATATTCGTGTTTGTCCGTTATTAAATTAACATGAACATTTTATTCATACATACTCGTCGCAAAAATGATATTTATCAATGTAAATTTTATCCGAGCTTGGGCTTTTCCGGTTTCTCATGGTTTTTTAATGTTTCGGGTTAATTATTGAATTAAACCCTACTAAAATAAGTGGGTTTTACGGGCTCAAAATAAGAAGCAGAAGCAGTAATGTTGCCAAAAATCAACCATGGCAATGCGTGCCACTCGTCTCTGCCACTTCTCCTCCGCTTCCAGGAAGAAACTCCAAACCCCCAAACATCTCTCGACACTGTCTTCACCTGAAACAACCCAAACCGGAGAAACCCCAACAACCAACACCAACGGCAAAAATGGAAGCTTTCTCGACCACCATGAATGTCACCAACGAATTCTTTCCTTGTCAGCTTTACTCCAACAGGGCCAAACCGAAGCTGCCCAAGCCCTCACAAAATCTCTTCTCTCCTCCAAGTCACCACTTGATCTCTTCAATCTCTTCTCTGTTACCTCACCTCGCTTGAAACTCGTTTTCTCAAATGTTCTCTTCTCCTTGTTTGCTCAGTCCAAAATGCACGCCGAAGCCATGGAATTATACAAGGCTATAAGGATGGAAGGTATGCTACCTTCTATAACTTCTCTTAACTCGTTGCTTGACTGTTTGGTGTCCTCGAATCAGTTTAGTAAAACCCTTGGCTTGTTTGAAGAAATAACAGGGTCTGGCTTTAGACCTAATAAATTTATGTATGGAAAAGCTATTCAAGCTGCTCTGAAATTAGGGGACTTGAAAAGGGCTAATGGTTTTTTTAATTGTATGAAGAACGAAGGGGTGACTCCAAGTTTGTTTATTTATAATGTTTTGATAAGTGGCTTTTGTAAAGAGAAGAGAATTAGGGTTGCAGAGAAAGTTTTTGATGAAATTTCTGAGAGAAATATGGTGCCAAGTTTGGTTACATATAATTCTCTTATTGATGGGTATTGTAAGGTTGGGGAGTTAGAGAAGGCTTTTGGGTTAAAAGAGAGGATGGTGAAGGAGAATGTGGAGCCTAACATTGTTACTTTCCACACATTGGCGAATGGCCTTTGTCGTGCCGGTAGAATCGACCAGGCAATGAGGGTTTTTAAGGAAATGGAAGCTCAAGGATTTGCTGCTGATGGCTATACCTTCAGTATTCTGTTCGATGGGTTTTTGAAGAGTGGGGATGTCGAAAGTGCATCGGCTTTGTATGAAGAAATGGGTGTGAAAGGAGTTGGGATCAATAGATATATGTTATGCAATTGGTTGAATCATCTGTGCAAGGAAGGGAATCTCGGGAAAGCGGAAGATGTTTTGCAGAACGAGATGGGGAAAGGGTTTGTGCCGAATGAGGTAGTGTTTAACACCATGGTGAATGGATATTGCCGAATTGGTGATATGGATAGAGCCGTTTCTATGGTTGAGCGTATGGAAAAGTTGGGGTTGAGGCCTGATTGCGTTACGTTCAACACTTTGATCGACAAGTTCTTTGAAATGAAAGAGATGGAGAATGCCGAAGAATGGGTAAAGAAGATGAGGGAAAAGGGTGTTTCGCCCAACGTCCGGACATACAACATTCTAATTAACGGCTATGGGAAAATGAAAGTACTTGATAGGTGTTTTGCAATTATAGAAGAAATGGAAATGAATGGGATTAAGCCAAATTATGTAAGTTATGGTTCCCTCATAAATTGTTTATGCAAGGATGGTAGGCTTCTTGAAGCCGGAATAACCTTCAGGGATATGATTAGTCGAGGGGTGTTGCCTAACGCGCTGATATATAACATGCTCATTGATGGGAATTGTGCAGCCGGGCAAATGACTGATGCTTTCAATTACTTTGATGAAATGGTGAAGGGTGGAACAAGACCTACAATCGTAACATTCAATACACTCATCAATGGACTATGCAGAAAAGGAAAGGCAACTGAAGCTGAAGTTTTGCTTCCCGAAATCACGAGTAACAGGTGTAGCCCCGATGTCATCACCTGCAACACCTTATTATCAGGGTATTCTAATGAAGGCAATGCCCATAAATGTCTGGAACTGTATGAAAACATGAAGAGTTTGGGCATCAAGCCGACTTTGACCACCTATCATGCTCTCATTACTGGATGCAGTAAGGAAGGAATTGAGCTTGCAGAGAGACTGTTCCACGAAATGGAAGAGATGCATTTGACTCCTGATCGACTTGTATATAACGCGTTGATTCACTTGTATGCAGAGCACGGGGATGTCGAGAATGCATTTTCCTTGCATCACAAGATGATAGACCAGGGAATTTCTCCTGACAAAATGACCTACAATAGCTTGATTCTGGGGCAGTTTAAACGGGGAAACTTGTTAGAAATAAAGGATCTTGTTGGCGATATGAGGGGCAAGGGATTGGTTCCCAAAGGTGATACATATGACCTTGTGATTAAGGGATATTGTGAACATAAGGATTTCATTGGAGCGTACACTTGGTGTCGAGAAATGTTGGAGAATCATTTCCTTCCACTTTTCACCACTTGTAATGAACTTGTGATTGGCCTTAGAAAGGAGGGAAGGCTGCAAGAGGCTCAGATTATCTGCTCCGAAATGAAGGCTAAAGGAATGGATCATTGGAGCTCTGGTGAGGACCTATTAGCTGCTGCTAACATCGACACCAGATGACCGCAAAAAGTAAAGTCATTGAATTGAAAGAGCACTGAACAAGTAGAAATGAAGCTTCAACCCTAATAGACATTCAAAGTTTGTTGTTGATAATGCTGATGAGTGCTTGATGACAATGATGCGATATATGTCATTGGATTATCATTTCAAAAGCTTAATTTTCACAGTTAATTCAACTTTAATTAATTTAACATTCCAAGCATGGGCGGAACCACCATTTAGAAATGGACCTGCTCAATCAACCTCAAAATCTGATTTTTTAATAAAATTTTATATAAAAATATTAATTTTTTTTGAAGGATAAAAAATAATATCCGAAGATGATTATATCAATATGACTCATAAACAACTTGTTATCTCAATTGCTATGTTGTTATATTAGTATAAATAGAATTTCATTTGATAATTTAAACTTTAAATTAATTGAATGAATATATAAACTTGAGAGATTTATGAAATAAAATCAGCATCAATAAATGCATAAACTGAAATTTATGAAATAATCTATAAAAAAAATTATGAAATAAAATCAATATCAATAAATAGATAAACTTAGAGATTTTGATAAAAGGAACCCTCTCGGATTTGAACCGCCGGGTAAAGGGTATGAATAGTTGCAATTCCATACCATACCTTTATAAATGGTCTCCTATGAATTCCCCAAATTGCCACTCATTTTCATGTACTATAAGTTTTTTTAATGGAAATTCACTAGTTTTATTAAAAATATAAAATATCAAAAATTACAATGAAGATTTACAAGCTTAACCATAAACTTAAAATATAATTATGACATTTTCCTATTATCATTGAGACAAAAACTAGCCATCTAGATCACATAAAGACCAAAGAATGAAAATGTTAAAAAATCTAACTAAAATGCTCGAATAAAATAAAAATACGAACAAATCTGACTGCAACAATAAACGAACCACAAAAGAAGATGAAGCTACTGAAAGACCATCGACAAATTACAAATTAGAGTCAAACGACGTAAGAAAACTATCAACGAACACAAAACACATATCTAAATCAATCAGAAGATCCAAATCAGGGAAGATCATCATGATAACAAATAAGCGCCATATTGATCAATCTTGATCAGTCGTGGTGGTGTCAAATTCAACCGTAAGAAAAAAGATAATAAAAAACAACGGCAAAAAACCGTAAACAATGGCAAAAAAACCCGTAAGCTACCAAAAGACAGAGAAAAACATGTCACGAAAACAAAGATAAATGTGTCATAAAGACAGAGAACATGTCACAAAAACATAATTATTCTTATTAAAAAATTAAAAAAACAAATAAAAATAACCGGATGTCGGCAATCAGCATTAAAATCAATGTCGTCGCCGGTTAAACAAAATTAAAAAAATATTAAATTAATCAATAAAATTAACACAAATTGTAAAAAAAAATGAAAGAGAAATAAAACGACTAGTTTTTTTTAAAATTTTTTTGAATGGGTTTAAGAATCCTATTCATGTACTATTAGTTAATTTGTTTTTATTTTTGTTGAGTTAATTCGTATGATTATAATAAAGATAAGTATTACACAAATGGAATTTTAATTACGATAAACATATTTATATAATTATAATTATAATTATAATTGATTATTATAATGTTGACATATAAGTTTTATAATTTAAATTTTTTTTATTTTTACTTTTTCTTGATTTAAATATTAAAAATTGCACTAAATATTTCAAAAATTATTAAAAATAATTTCTTATAATCAATTGTTAATAATAATATTAATATCTAATTTATTGATTAATTTAAAATTTATTTTATACTCTATTAATTTATTATAAGAATGGTTTTTTAATTTATTTTTTAATTATAACTTTTATTAGAAAATAAACTTATTAAGTGGTTTTATATGTTCTAAACTTGTCTTTTTCTATTAAAAAATTAATGATATTTTGAGCTGGATGTTAATATATTGATTGTGATATGATAAAATTTAATCTTAAAATCTCAAACGATTATCATATCTCAATCAACAAATTAAAATACATCTTTAATTGTTATCAGTTTTTTAACGAAAAAGGACAAGATTAAAATATATAAATAATTGAATAGTCATTTTGTAATTTTTAATAGTCGATGACGTAACAAAAACAATTTCTCAATCGTCAACAAGGAACGTATTCATCTTCTTGGCGTCTCAACCTCGACAAGTTCCGCCTTCCCCAGCAGCAACGCTTAAACTCCGATGACGAATCTCTTTCTCGTCTCCTTTGTACCCCTAGTAAGTTTTGTTTCCCCTTCAGTTTCTACTTTCCTTTTTCTGTTTTGCAGATTTCTATTTTCTCAGGCAGGATTTGTTAATTCTGATCGGTTAATGTAACCGGTGAAACTTCATATCTGACTTCAAAAAATGAAGAATCTGATAACTTTTTCACTCTTATCAAGAAAAAGTCGGTTGAGTCCAGCTTTCGGTTCTCTACTATTTTGTTTTCCTTTCAAGAGGAAAAACGAGGACGTTGTGTAACCCCACATACTGATAAGGGTAATTAGATTCGATCTGGGGTGTCATATTTGGGTCACCGGAGTGATTCACTGTAAAAAAAGCGAAAAATTTAAAAATTTTATTGAAACGTGTAACTTATAAAATCAGTTGTCACTATTTAAAAATAAAACAAATTTCCAAACTCGTATATAAATCAAAATACAATTACATGCCCCTAATCACATGTACCATACTCTGCAACAACGCCGGAAGATATATATATTTCAGATGGTAACGAGCAATGAGCTTTCAGTTCAGAAAAATATTTCGGATGACTGAGTTCAGGAGATCAGAATAGGTTTTCTAGTGTGTTCCCATAAAACTAGTAAAAAGATATATATATTTTTTTAAAGCATATATATACACCCCCATCCTTTCACAATCTGTTTGTGTAGGTTTCCCGGAACCATATACCCCACACAACCAGTAACAGTAAGGCCCTGAGCACACAGCCGAGGAGCCTGCAGTAATCTTCCTCCAACAATAAACCCCCCAGATAAAACATTTCTCCGTCGGTAAACGGAGATATCAGAAATCAAAACAGAATTCATATCAGATATCAGAACAGAATCCAGATCAGAATCAGAACAGAATTCAGGTAACGTATCAGAACAGAATTCAATTCGGAAATCAGATAAAATATTTATATAATTAGGGAACACACCAGAGTTTACAGATATTATTTAGAGGTACTATATCAGGCAGAGAAACATAGTTATTCAGTATGCCGATAGAATATCGGAATTCAGAATCACTATTGGAAGAGTTCAATAACTGACAAAATCATCAATTATTCAGAATATGACTTGAGCTGTAAGGAAGAAATGAAGATTCAGGACATTTACAATCTATATCGATTGATCGGATTATCAAAAAACTCTTAAATGAATAGCTCCCAAAATTAATGCTTGTCGATTGATCAATTCATTGTTCTTCCAGGGTATTTACTCTTTAATACCACAAACTCTTGTCTATAGATCATTTTCGGAATCATCACTGAATAGATCTTCCAATGTCTTTATTTTATTTTTACGCTTCCAATATATCATGAAATACTGACGTGCTTGATTTGTAGTTCATGATCCAGAAGAACAGTATATTGTGTATGTTCATTAACGTTTCCAGACTCATTCACATCACTTACTTAATCCTTAGTGCTTGAGGTTGCTTAGTTCGTTTAGCATTCAAGTCTATTCAGTTACTTCAGGATTTTCCAGAGTAATTCCGTACGTTTTTGAATTTCAGATACATATTGTACTTCCGTTCAGTTCAGTTTGGTCTTCGTGGTTGATTTGTCGAACAAATATCCAATTCTTAGTACCGAATGCAATCTAGAGTTGAGCTAAGCTGAATACTTCCAAAATTATCATTGAGCTAAACTTGAGTAGACGAACATGCATTCAAGTAATATCTGTGTTGTTCAGGTACTGACATATTATTAAGGTTGATCGGCTCACTTAAGTTATGTTCCATAACTTTTAAAGGTAGTCCAATACCTATGCTTATTTGGATTCCTTAATTAATCCAAGATATTTACTTAGTTTAGGCCATAAGGTTATTTTGATAATTTTGGTGTTCAGTTTTATTCCATTTATTTCAGAGCTCGAGGATATCCAATCATTCCTGAGCTTGGTGATATTCTTGGGTCATTTCCATTACAGGGGTATTTTGGTCATTGTACAAATTCAGTGTACTTTAATCATTTCCTTCCGTCTGATCTTATTATTAAATTCAATCTTATCATTTATTTCAGTCCTTTCGAACAATTCTGACAACAGAACACCCCCGACAAATTGTTCTTCAGGTATTTACTCATAACTCGGATATTTCCGGGTCAAGTGCCTTCTCAGATTTTACAAACGGAACATCAGAAATTTTCCTGCACTAAGTCAGGATTTTAACAATCAAATCCGTACTTAATCGAGTTAAGTACGAATCCTCTAAGTATTTTCTCATTCAAAGTCAACTCAGACTATTCTACCTCTTAAGGCATTTCCGTAATTTCTTAACCAGATAATTTCGATATTAGCTCTTAACGAAAATAATATAATTTAGAGATCCTATGATTAATTGCTTTCTTGAATACACTCTGATCTTGAAACGGTTCTCTTAACAAACTTCTAGTATCCTTCACAAATTCTCATAGGATTAAAACCGGTTATCCATAATTTCCAAATAAAACTAACATTTCTTATACACATCAATATTTTTATCAGATCAATATGTCTGTAAAATCCTCTTATCTAACTTCCATATTCAAATCTTGTCTTTTTATGACATAAGGGTATTTTCGTAATTTTATCCTACCATAATATTCTCACAATTTCTCATCCAAGTACCTTTAACATTTAACCTTTGATGAAATAAATTATAAGTTGCAGATACAGAGCTGATTTCTTTATTACTAATCACAAACTTGTAATTTAATCTCAAAATTCCTTAATCTCTTATATTAGTCATTCGATCCGTAATTAGTTACAGAATTTCTACCACATCATATCGAGTGTATAAATTATTCAACTCCACCAAAGTGACCAACATTATCTTGTTCATGCATTTATCAATATAAACATGTTCCATAAAGCATAAAGAGGTAGTAAAGTATTACCTCAATTTTCGTGCCATACTGATCGATCATTTAAATCTATTCGAACGCCCTCAATCTTGAAATCAACTTCCAATAATCCCTCGGATACAAAGCAACTAAATGTACGTCAAAATATGAACTTAACTGAGAAGCTAACTTGAATCCGAATGTAAAATATGGAAAAACGGCTTACCAGGTGCGAATTTGGTAAAACGAACTTCGGATTCGGACCCAAGATGTTGAAGGGAATCCAAAATATTTTTTTTTCCAGGTATATTCAAATAAGCTGCCAGAACCTCATTTTTCTCTCGAATTTGAACTCATTATATTTGATTTCGAGCTTTCAATTTTTCTCTGACTTACCCGGACCATCAAATATACGAACTCGATTCCAAATAATTTCCTCGCCATAAAAATAATTTATTAGAATCAAAATAATAATAAAAAATATGACCCAATTGGTAAATCTAAAAACTTGTGGAGCCAATATAATATCTAATTACTAAAATTAGGGACTAAATTGAATTAACTTAAATTATCATGGCTTGATCAAGACTACATCATAACTAGAGAACAAATTTAGAACTTTACCAAAAATAGATGGCTGAAGTTATGGTTTGCCCATCTTCCTTTTCATAATCTACCACCCACGTGAATTTCAAAAGTAAGTATGAAACCACTTCATCGAAGATCCTGCGCAGCTCTTAAGTACTTTGATCCCAAGACCACGCTCTGAGCACCGGAAATCCCATCCGAAATGACGAAACTGACGACAGCGAGTTTCTAAATTTTCTTACGTCATCCGCCAATGACATCGTTGGAACTTGTGGTTGTTGTCGTTACCCTTGTATGTCAGTTTCAACGTTATTGCCTGACAGACTCTGGGACAAACCTTGCCTAGGCGACATCACCAGCCGATGAAACCTCGTCTGTACATCGTTGAGCCCACCCGTGTTATCCGTTGCTGCCAACACAACCTGAGGAGAATGGATACTTTCCGTAGAATTCTGATGATCAAGAGTACTTAAAGTGTCCCATAAGTTAGAGTGGAAACCGGGGACTAAACCATAAAGAGGCCATGGACGGTAGGCATCATTGGAATCAACCAATATGATGGAAGCCGATGGTTGTTAGGCGGTGGCGCTTAAGGTAAACTTGTGGGGTTCAAGAACATGTTAGTGGATGTGGTGGTTGTTTCGTGTATATCGGAGCAGTGAACATAGTTGGTGTTCATGAGATAGAGTGTTTGCATCCCATCGGCAACATGGAATCCTGAGCTTCCATGAAAGTATGTCGCCATCCCAAAACAATCGAACATTTACCAGTTTACAGAACTAAAGAACTTTAACATTTTAGGCTTTAAGTGTAGGGATTTTCCTAAACGATTTACAGAGAGATCGAAATAGACAAAGCGAAAGCATTAACTCTTGATGTAAAAGTGAATGCCGAAGATGAATCAGAAGCCGGTAATGCTGCCAATTAAGTGGAATCATAAGGTTACCTGCTCTTTATTTTATGGATATTTTAGGTCCCTAGACAATGACTTCCATATTTTTTTATTATAAGTATGAAAATTATTGTTAGGAAATGACAAAGCAAATAATTTCTTTAATTGATTTCCAGCTTTGGTGGATAAGGACGAACGTGAAAGCTGAAACAATGAATTCCAGACAATGACATTATCATTAAATAAATCCATTTCACCCAACAATTTGTCCACTTCTACTTACTCTATCATCCTTATTCACAATTTTCTTTTAAAATTAATTTGCCCCATAATTGGGGTGTTACACGTTGTTCGGACGAAAAATGAGTTATGAATACGTGAGATTTTATGGAGTTTTCTAGTAGATTAAAACTGATTTATGCAGTAGCTGAGTCTCTTCTTTAATCGTTACAACTGGTTCACTGGGGAGAAAACTATTTTGAGGAAATCTAATTTCTTATTGTTGGTGGTCCTTGTCTGAGTGACTGATGAGTCAAGAGACCTATGAGTCACGAGTTTCATGTGCAAGACGATACTTGAATTCATTTACTGAAACATACCTCAAGTCTTTACTATAAAGCTGAATCAATAATAGGAAAGTTTTACTGTAGCAGAAAAAAAAGTTAAATATTCCTCTCATGCACAGTTTCGATTGCCAGTATGATGTTTGACTAAATATCTGAGACATAATGTTTTGCTTTCTGGGAATCATTTGTGTTTAATTCCTGGGTAAACTTTGCATCTTTAAGTTGGTAATACACATTTGTTTCAGCTTTAATTCTGGTATATTCATGATCCAGCCAATTCTTTCCTTGATTAGTTTGTGGAAATGTGGAATCCTACTAGATTGTGTCTAAAAGTTAAGGCCATGTTTGACAAAAGTAGGGTTAGTGAGCTTATTTGTCGTCATTGTTAACTTTTTGGCCTTCTTCTGCTGAGGGCCCATGGTTGTTCTTATTTAACTAAGCAATAGCAGACTATCTGCTAAAAGGCTGGAAGTGTTTTGTCCATTGTCCCACGAATATATACCGAAGATCATTACTAATGGGTGCACTTTTCTTGTTAATTCAGCCCTTAAAAAGGCATTCCAAGCTTTATTTCTTGTATTTGTGGAGGATTTCTAAGGCCTAAATTGATTCCCTTTAATATGGAATTAGTTATAAACAAAGTTATAAGCAGACACTAGCTGTGGAATTATAACAATGTTTTATTTTTTGATATCCCGAATTCTATCTTCAAACATGGAGATTAATAAAAACAAACATGAAGATGTGGTTTTCCCATACAACTTTTATTTTCTGCATTATATAAGGGTAAACTACATATTTAGTATCTAAACTATTAGTTTTGTTTTGTTTTAATACCCAAACTTTTATTTGTTTCAGATGTTTCATTTTAGTAACTCGTTAAAAACGTTAATGGAATTGTTTAAAAATGAGCTATCTTTTCACTCTTATTTTGGTTACTAAAATTTAAATTTTTTTAATTTAACTACTTATATTTCGAATAGCTCATGTTTTAGTCACTCTAATTTATTTTATTAATAATTTTTGTGACATGATGTATTTTTATTATTTTATTAATATGTAATTTAAAAAATTAAATTTGAAAGTCATAGTGATTAAATTAGAAGTAATTTGAAAGTGAATTAATTAAATTAAACTTTAATATGAATTATGTAATTTATCCATAAAAAAGTACCGTATTGTAACTAAGTTTTTGACGGCAACTTATTAAAAAATAAAATAAAAAATAAGCGTTAGATATGATTTTTAAACAAATGAAAGTTTAGATACTAAAATGAAACAAAAGAAAGTTTATGATTTTATTATAATATAATTTTTGAAGTTTTAAAATAACATTTTTTTATTTTAATATATATATTTATATTATTAAAAATCTCTCCTACTTTAAAATTTCTCATTCAAAAACTCCCTTGAAGAATTCTTATTATTATGAATTCTCGATGTTCATTTTTGTTATTTTTTTATTAATTTAGAGTAATTATTAGATAATTTTTAATAGAAATTTTTTATTTATTTGATAATAAATATTTATATACCCCTTTGAACATAGTATTTGAATCTTAAATTTTTAAAAAATAATTATATTTTAATCACTAAAATTATTTGATTTTTATATTTTTATTTAGTTTTTAAATGGAGAAATGATAGATTCTTAGTACTAGAGTAGTTTATGTTAAATGTGATGACACGGATTTAATGAGCAAAGTTTTATATATAATGTTAGCTCTAAAGTATATTATTTTCTTATTCTGAAATATTCATTTTTAACATAAGATATTAAAAATATTATATTTATATTATAATCATATTTTATATATTTTTAACAATTGTTTATGTTAAATGTGATAACATGGATTAAATGATTAAGGTTTTTATATTCATTTTTAACATAAGATAAAGTATATATTTTTATATTCTTTTACAATAATAAACATTGATTTTTAATAATATCTTATTTTATAATTTTAATCTTATTAATATAACATTTTATATGATTTTTGATTGATTATGATAGAAGTTAAATTAGAGTTGTAAATGAGATGAGTTGAGTTCGAGTATTGCTTAGCTTGACTTGATTCGAAAACTCTAAAATGAAATTCAACTCGACTCAAAAACTCGCGAGCCTAAAATTTTTAAGCCCGACTTAAACTCGAAATCATGAACTGAAACTCTTAAAAACTTGAAATGAAAAAAAAAAATCTTAAACTTAACTTGATTGAAGCCTCAAACTCAAATCTAAACCTTAAATACATGAAAACCTTATACTATAATTTTTAAAAAAAATCAACACATAAATATTAATATTATTAATAATTTATTTTTAAAAAATAAAATATTAATATATTATATATTCGAATTGCTCACGATTTTTTCTAGTCAAATATCAAATAACTCATTTCTACTCATTATAAACTCAAATCGATCTTAAACTTAAATCAATTATTTATCAAATTTTAATTAAATTAATCTCAAATAACTCATTACTTATAAGGGACTTAATGTACATCCATAAGTTAAAAAAAACAAAATAAAACATAGAAAAGTCGTCGAAATCGTTCCGCACCACGTTCAACACTTGAAAAACACATTTCATGGCAACCATTAAACCACTTATTTTGTTCCCGACTACACAAAATAAGGCAAAACACACAGTCACACACAAAAATCATCTCTTCTTCTTCGCTTTCTTCCTCCCAATGAAAAGCTAAAGCAAAAAGCTTTTGAAGACCAAAGAAATTGAATAAATAAGGGCCCCCAATGGCGTTTGTGTTGCCTAATCTTTCTCCTTCCCTTCTCCTTCTTCAATCCAAAACGTGTTCCAAAGAAAAACAACACTTTCTACCACTAGTTTTTGCCCAAACTCCGAGACTCAGCTCCGAAACTCTAAGTGTTCAATCCACAACACTTCAAGGCTCCCCGGTTAGCTCTCCTTCACTGCATCAGGACAAGCTCGACCAATCCCAACAACAAAGAGATGAGTTTTATGTCAACCTTGGACTTGCTGTTCGGACTCTTCGCGAGGATTTGCCTTTGCTTTTCACCAGAGATCTCAATTATGATATTTACAGGTAATTTCTTCTTCTGGGCTGTATTCTCTTTCTTTTGGTAATTTGGGTTTTCTTTTTTTTGTGTGTGTGATTTTTTTTCTTTTTCTTTTGCCAGGGATGATATTACTTTTTTGGATCCTTTGAATACATTTTCTGGTATCAGAAACTATAAATTGATCTTCTGGGCATTGAGATTTCATGGTAAAATATTGTTCAGAGAGATTTCCCTTGAAGTTTTTAGAATTTGGCAACCTTCTGAGAATGTCATATTGATTAGATGGAATTTGAGAGGTGTCCCTCGAGTTCCATGGGAGGCCAAGGGCCAGTTTCAGGGCACTTCGAGGTACAAATTAGATCGAAATGGGAAAATCTATGAGCATAAGGTTGACAATTTAGCATTTAATTTCCCACAGCAGCTTAAGCCTGCTGCCTCAGTGTTGGATTTAGTTGCTGCCTGCCCGGGTAGTCCTAATCCAACATTTCTATGGGGTCCTGTGGATACGTATCCCTCTTCTTGGGTCGCGTTTTATCGTGCAGTTAGGGAGACACTGGATCGAGAAGGATATTTGCTCTCGCAAGATGGTTTGGCTACTTGTTCATAGCCTGAATCACTACACGCTTCATATATATGTGGTGAAATTTTATACTATATACTTGTATCAGCACATTACATTTTGTATAATGGATATGGAAATAGCCGGTATAAGTTTTTTTCCCCCAAAACATACGGTGTATGTACATAGGCACAAATGCTGGAGGTTTCGTTTCATGTAACCGTTGAGTTGCCAGAGGAAGAGATGCTTGCGCGTATTTGGTTCATGTCAGTTCTTACAAGTCAATTTGTATGTATACACGATCTTAACCTATTAGTTTAAGTAGAAATTATATATTAGCTTTGTTACATGATTGAGTATCATAATTTGCTTTTGAGTAGAGTCCAAACTCCAAATCATTTTGTTGTTTGCATCAAAACATAAGATGGCTGAGGTGCAATTGATGGATAAGCATTTGCAGTGTTCTTTTCCATCATGCTCCCTATTTCTATGGCTGACGCTTAGGAGGAAAAATTTTGTACTGATGCCATTGTTCTAATGTTTATATATCGATGCTCCCAAAGTTCGAAATATATAGATCATATTTCTGTGACAAGTGGAAACTTTTGATGCCTAGGAAGAATCTATCGGTTTAGCGTAAATCTTTCTTTCCCTGTTATGCCTAACATCATACTAGTGTCTTGTCTGCATTTACTAGAAGATTTTGTTGATCTTTAGTTTTTATATGCCATCACACCCTTAGTAAATTATAGGTCGAATCTTTGTTTACTCCACGATTGTAGATGCTCGTTTTTATCCGAGTCTAGGTCGGAGCAGGCCCGAAGCAAACTAATTACAGGCCCCATTCAAGCCCAATGGACAACAGATATATACACAAGAAGAGAGCAGTTTGAGGGTCGGTTTTTAGCAGTTTTTGTTTTTAGGAGATAACCACCCATCATCAGTTTTAATGGGATTAAACTAAAGGAAAGGGGGGATCAGTTTTAAAAAAAAAATTACACGATCAGTGAGGGGCGGTTTTTGGGACAGAACAGGGGAATTAGCAATATGCATCAATTATGTTTTAACAACGATTACATATTTGCATCAATTATTTTGAGCCTTATTTTTGGTTTTCTTATTGAAAGCCATCCCTGATTTAGCAATTTGCAAGAATTGCATAACCTCCACCTTGAGAATAATGTTTTGTTGAAGAATTTTGTTCCTCTAGTAAGAGTACGAAGGAAATGATTTGTTGTCGATGCTTATAATGCTTCAGTTACACTGCACTTCTTTTAGAAGATTTAGTTTAGACTTTACCTCATCAAGTTGAAGCCATTTTGGTCATATAGGTTTGTGCTCTTCAATGGCTTGGATGCGTATTATAAATGTTATACTATGAATCCTTTAGCAGCATGACATCGTAGGGACATAATATGAGCTAATCCTTGGAAAAGTAGAATAATGCGAAATAGGGACGAACTCATGATTTTATGTTGGAGGTGAACTTGAACTTATAAAATTTTAGGGAAGCAAACTTGAACTTATAAATTTTAGGGGGGACGAAAACAAATTTTGAATAAAAAATACATAGATAAAATCTAAAATATATGATAATTTTAAATTTTTAGGCGAGAACCGGTCCGCCTTGGTCCATTCTTCATGCGAAACTTCTCTTCAAGGTTCTATCATTTATGCCAACTTCATGGTAGTCTTATTATATAGTCTGGTTTTCTATACATGCATCTAGCATCTACAACCATACATCTTGATCACATTATGCCTAAAACATTGCATTGTGTAGTCATGATTCATGACATTCTATGATCATACATCTTAGTCCCATGTTCATTCTGCCACGTAGCTCTCTTAGTATTTTGCCTGTGTATTGTTCTTGTTACATCGATGCATGCTTATTTGCTGAGCTATGCATACTTTCATAATGATGCCACGTGGCACAAAGCAATTTCAACTTCCTTGATAGAGAGAGGTTCTACTTAGTTCTGCAAAAAGTATTGCAGGATGAGTTGTTAAAAGACTACATAATCAATCGGGTTGATTCAAGTGATAAGCAGTTTAATATTGCCCAAGCAGGTCCGAGGCCTTATGTACGTAGAAAATTCCCGTTAAGAGACTCATCTACTAAAATCAGACGTGCGACACGGGTTAGTCCAAATTAATCAGGATAAAGCCTTGGAACGGGGATACGTCACACATCTTTCATATTACCTATTCATTGATCAGTTGTTAGATTTAGGTAAGCAAAAAGGCAGCCCTCTAATTAGCTACAGATATGAAGTGCTACCTTCATTTCAGGCATGATTTCTTGAACGGGTTATTGGAATGTTGTACCTTCAAAATTAAATCGATGATATATTAACTCACAAGTGTTTCGAAAAAAACTGTACATATATTAAATGTTTGACCGAGTCATGATATTATCAATAAATAGATCTTTTAAATAATAAATAACTAAAAATCAATTTTTAAGGATTGAGCACAGCAATTTTTTTTATCATTATCCTTATATTTATCTGTGGATTTAATGTTCACAAATATTTGTTTTACATAAAAAAAATATTGACTATTTATTTATATAAAATTACCATGCAACTTCCAACGCACGATTTTTGAAGGATCGTACAAGGAAATTTATATATATACACATATACTTGACGACAAAGTTAGAAACAACTAACAAGATATATATATATATATATATATATATATATATATATATATATATATATATATATATACTTTCTAAGTTTCATTGTAGTGCTTAATTAAATGATGAGTTAATTAATCAAATTCATAATTTTGTTTAGTTAACCTATGAAATTATTATAAATATTTAACAAATTTAGAGTTTGAACCATACAATATAAAAATCACATCCATTATTCGAAAAAATTACAAACAATTGACCCCGTTATTTATTGAATCTTACACAAGAAAACAAAATTTTATTTACTATTAATATATTCAATTTTTAATATAATCTCAAGGTTGAGATTTCAAATTGTACTACAATATCAATTTATTCATTCGATCGCTTGAATATTTCATTTAACTTCATGAACAATTAATACATTTAAATATAAATAAAACATTGAAAACCATTCAAATGGATCATCAATGTGAAAATTGACCCTTTTTTAAGACGGTTCTTAAAAAACGAAATAGATTTCTTATAGAGCAATCCATGAAACCAATATATAAAAAGACATGCATGCTGCTTTACACATTACAATCAGAAACGAAAACCCTAATCCCTACCAATATACTCTTCATCATGCCTTCTCTTAATATCGAATCCATCGGAGCAAAGAAACGTCGATGCTTCAACCGAAAGACGGCAAGGAGAAGTATGAGAAGAAGATTGTTAGGGTTGAGAAAACAGAAGGAAGAGCTAAGCAAAGAGAGAGAAACCATCGAAGAAGTGCGAAGGCGAGTTCGGGAGAAAATGGAAGCCGTAGAAGAAGAGTGCGAACAAATAACCGAAGAAACGAACGAAATAATCCGGCAGACTGCAATGACTCAAATCCGGTTGGCTCTGATGTTCAACATCCTCAGGGCACGACAAGATGGCGATGTTGCTGAGGCATCCCACTTAACTCAGTTGCTTCGGTTAGTTTAATTCCATTTCATTTTTGCTTTGCATACTTATATTATATATTATGATTTATGAAGAATTGACATTAGTTTCTTTTTTGTTTGCAGTAAAATAACAGTGAGGGCATGACGTGAAAGAGTTGTTTATCCAAAACTTTAGTTTGTAATTTCAAGAAGTTATTGTGATATTTTTAAAGCTTTGGGATTTGTATCGTATATGCATAAAGCTTTATTATTTTGATTTCCCTGTTATTATTATTGAACAATGATAAATCACTTTTAATAGCCTATGTTGGTCGATCCACGTCCTTCCTTATGATGGTTCTTAAAGATTGATTCCCCTTTGGGGAAACTCTTACAAGTTAGACCCTTGCACTTGTAAGACAAAGTACTTCTAAATATAACGTTTCAACAATCTTTTCCACCGACATTGATAATCAACAGAAAAGGAACGAGGACAATTCAATGAGAAATTCAATCTTAAGATGCAGAACAACACAAGCAGCTGTTTACAGATCATATATCCACATATGCTCTCTTCAAGAAGAGATCAAAGTAAAAAACAGGAAGTGAACCTTCAAGGTTTAAACATGACACAATTGTAGACACCCATTTTTATCCGGATCGAAAAAAATATTATTATTATTATTATTATTATTATTATTATTATTACCCAAGAACTAAACCTAAAATCCACCAACCTTTCCACCACTCCATGTTTTCTTCCATGTTTTGTTCCATGTTTTGTACCATGTTTTATTATTCCACTTATACTAATTATTTTCTTATGCTATATTATGTAAGAGGAGGAGAGAGCCAAAAAAGAAAAAGAAAAAGGAGACCATAGACATACTAGGAGGCCAAAACGTGAGAGGAAGGAGAAAAGAAAAAAAATAGAAAACAACACTTCTTGTAATCTGTCGGATTCTCGTCGGAGATCGGGATCCATGATCAATATTCCGAACGGTCAAAAGTTGCGTAAGGCCATAAAAAACAACATATTGAAAAATCAGGACGATCGGACGGTGGACGGTGACGGATCGGAGAAAACAAATCCAGACGGTTTTTAGCCTCTTTCTGGTGATTGGAATCTTCGATCAACATTCCGAACGGTCAAATGTTGCGTAAGGCCATCAAGAACAACATATTGAAAAATCAGGACGATCGGACGGTAGACGGTGACGGATCAGAGAAAACAAATCCGAACAGTTTTTAGCCTCTTGCCGGTGATCGGAATCTTCGATCAGTATTCCGAACGGTGAAAAGTTGCGCGATGCCAACACGAACAACCTATTAAAAAATCAGGACGATCAGACGGTGGATGACGGCAGATCAAAGAAAATACATCCGGACGGTTATCTTTGTATCTTTCCTGATTTTGACATTTCAATTTCTGTTATTTTATTTTAACCTTTTAATTTCTGTTTTTACCATTTTAATCCTTAAGGTTCATGTTTTGCGCTTGGGTCATTCTCTATATGAGTCATTTTCATTTGCAGCTTAACACATTATAGTCCTTAAATCGGTGTTTTTGTGTTTCTGATTTCGTCTCCATGTTTTACCCATATTTAATTTCAGTCTGGAGTGGTAATGTACATAGTTTCGTTTCTATAGGCATTTGAACCTTATGTTATTGCATGTTACATATTAGTCATGTGGATATGTTATTTTAAGATTATGTGATGTTGCATATTTGGCATATCATTTTCCCGGTTTTTCATTTTAGTTTTATAGGTGGTCTCGGCTTTACTTTGATCTTAGTATATATAATGCATTGATAGGTTTTTTTTTTGTGACCTTTGTTTAATAGTGATTTTAGCTTTAGATTTATTTACTCATTTATTTTAATCGCATGTTTAATTAATTTTTACATGACGTCCTTTTTGCATAATTTACATGATATCCTCACAAGCATAACTCGACTTTATTACATAATTTAACTAAGGGTGATATCTTTTTAATTTAAAATTGTTTAAGTGGGTTATCTTAACTGATTAGATATCCGCTTTTGACGATTTTAAATTAAAAGTGTATCCCATCGGTGAAGCCTAAGAAGTTGATTTATCACTTTTAAAATTTGGGAACGGAAGAAAAAGAAATATTCAGCTATTTAAATTTATCGAGAAAAGATAGTTAGAACTTATCTAAGATCTGGTCTCGATATTTGTAAATAATCGAATATTCTTTATCTTTCTAAAGGCCTGGTAATTTTAATTCAATCTATTTTAGGTGCTTTTGAATTTTGTAAAATTCATGTGGTGTTTTGTCGGGGATCATAAATCAAATTAAACTCGAATTTGTAAATTTCATTGCAAAGACATTAATTAATCGACAGGTACCGATTTAGGGCGCTGTGGGGGTGCAAATCATTCCCCATGCGTAACCGACTCCCGAACTCGAATTTTGGTAATGCAGACCTAAATTTGTTGTTTTAATTAAAATTAATTTTTTATTTAAAATGGCAAAACATTTTTGGGTGCCCAATCACACCCTAATCAAAGATTGGTGGCGACTCTTTGAACTCGTATTTTTATCGTGAATGAATTTTCAAATTTTCGAAACAAGAGGTTTTCTAAAATCACATTGTTTTTAATTAAAGTTCAATCGTAAAGAGAATAATTAAAAATGACGCGGTTTTCAAAATCTCGCCCCCCACACGTTTTAAAAATCGTTTCGACAGCTTGCCGACTCCGCTGGGGAATTTTTTAGAGAGTCAGGCCTATAGTCGGTTAATTGATTGTCTTTGCAATTGAAAGTTATAAATTCGCTCTAATTTGGTTTTTGATCTCCTGATTGATTTTAATTTGATTAATCAGTAAATAGTTGTACTGATCTGTTTGCTAATGGTTTCAGATTAATTATGTGTTGAAAGAGGATTGATCTTTTGAGTGTTTTGTGAATGTGTGTTGTTTTATTTTCGCTTTTCCTCACACAATGCACAGTTGCATTTGCATGACATGAGCTAAAACCCCGCTCTGTCCTATTTAAGTAGGAGTGAAAGACTACTCCCTCGTGTGGTTTTCACCTCCGCATGGGATAGTGGATCACTTCTGGAGCTCACGCTTTATGGTCATCGTGATGATATTCACCTCCGCACGGACATAAGGAGGTGTGTTCTCTCGAATTGAACTCGATCCTCTAAAGCCTATGATGGGCCATGATTGAGGGTTCGGCAGTCCAAGGGGGCACCGGCAAGGACAATTCGAGAACCTATTGCTTTAGAACCTAACCCAGCATGTAATGAACATAGAGCCTGAACTTAGATCGAGCCTGACCCGAACCTTAAGAGTCCCGTGAGGAGTGTACACAAGGAAAAGTTTTCGAGTCATTTATTTTTGCTTTTTGAATAAATGTATGCGAACTAGAAATCATGCGGTTAGGTTTATTTTCTCGAACAAGCATGCGAATTAGATATCATGCGGTTAGGATTTTTTGTGAATAACAAAGCATGGGGGTAGAGATCATGTTGGGTAGGATCTACTAAGCATGATTGGGTAGTCAGCATGTGAGGGTAGGTTTTATTTGTTACTATACTCATCATTTTGTTGTTTATGTGTATTAACCCATTGTTTGTTTATGACTATTTTGTTTTGGATTTATTGCATTTTCATTTCATGTCATTCAAAGGTGTTAATTCGCAAGTGATTGACTAATAAGAAGGCTGGTCATATTGAGGCAAGAAATTCTTAGCCATGTAGTCAAAATCGGGAGATCCAGAGACATTCAAATGATTCATGAAGGACATCCGATGAATGAAGAAATCTGAAACTGATTGAAGACCAATCCGCAAAGAAAGACATCCGATGAATGAAGTTAGAAGTTGATTGAAGACTCTTTTCAAATGAGCAAAGGCCGAAGATGTTCCCTCAAGAGATAGATGCAGTAATACCAAGGACGAGAAGACGCTTCACAAAGACATGAAGACTACTTTGCATTGAAAGTAAAGATGAAGATCCCAAGATTCAATTTAAGGACATCCGACCTCATCAAAGGTGATAAGATACGTTGACAACTTTGAAGGTGCAGTGTCAGATTCCATGAAGAGTACAACTCAAGGAAATGAAGAGATGAAGAATCACAATTGTATTTTGGCTATATGGTGTAATGAAATCTTGTTGTCTAAATGAAATGTTGTTCTATAGTGGTCACTTTTGGAATTAACACCTTTTGCATTTGCATTTGGCATTTGCATTTGCACCTGCATTGCATTTATGTATTTAAGCATTTTATATGCATTAATTATAAATACATGGAAGTAACTTAGGTGAGGTTATGTGACGGTAATAACAAGATCATTCATTCATATTGTTCCTCATCATCATGAGCAAACAAATGGAAGTAAATGAGCAATCTAATGAGAAATCACAAGATCAACTACAAGAACAGTTAGTCGGGTTACAACAAAATACGAGGAATCAAGCATCGGGTTATCTTCAAGGCGCATCGAATCAAATGATCCAGGTGCTGGCAACCAATACTGTTGGTAGAGAGGAAATAGCTAATCAAGGACACCGGTCTCATCAGAGTAATGCATCAAGAGTGATAATTTGCCCCGGAGCATCTAACTCAAACAAAGGGAAGAGCCTCGTCAATTATGGGCAGTTTGAGAACGAATTCAAGTGGTTGAATGAAGCCGTTAAAAATATGAAGGTTGTTAATGCCACTCACAAGGAGTTAGAAGCCAGAGAACTCAGTTTGGTCCATGATTTGGTCATCCCATATGAATTTAGGGTACCTAATTTTGAGAAATATGATGGCACCAGTGGCCCCCTAATTCATCTGAAAATGTTTGTAGAAAGATGGAAGGGTATCTAAATGATGATAATCTTTTGATTCATTATTTCCATGATAGTCTTGCTGGGCCAGATGTGGTGTGGTATAACCGTTTGAACAGAGAACAGATCAAGACGTGAGTCAATCTAGTTGATGCTTTTCTAGGGCAATATCGATATGTTAAAGGCTTAGCCCCAAAGCGTCATCACCCTCAAAAGATGAGAATGAAAGCTACTGAGAGCTTTAAAGAATATGCCCTGAGATGGAGAGGAGTGGCGGCACAAGTTCAGCCTCCTTTGCTAGAAGAAGAAATGTCATGTATGTTTCATGATTCTCTCCCAGCTCATTTCTTTGAGTTAATACTGGGAAATTCGATGAATAACTTTAAGGATCTTATGGTGGCTGGAGAATCAATTGAGGATGCAATC